CACTCCAGTGTGGGTTAAGGTGCAAGACAGGACCAGATCCCTGCCCTCAGGGAGCTTATAAACAGTGGTTTTCAACCTTCCTAATGCCGCGACCCTTTAATACAATTCCTCATGTTGTGGTGACCCCCAATTTCATTGTTACAAATTGAACGTAATTAAAGCATAGTGATTCATCACAAAAACAATATGTAATTATATATGTTTTCCGATGGTCTTAGGAGACCCCTGTGAAAGGGTCGTTCGACCCCCAAAGGGGTCGCGGCCCACAGGTTGAGAACCGCTGCTCTAAAAGGAAGGCCTAACAATAAATATGAGCAATTAGGACATTTTCTTATGGTCATAACAATCATAGCTGCACTTGTACAGTACTGAAATAACTTAATTTTCACCACAATTCTGTGATACAGGTACTCTTATCCTGACTCTACAAATAAAAGGAGGATCAGAGAAGTTAAGTTACTTGCTCAAGGTCACACTATCTGTTAGTTGTGGCATCAAAGAGTGCTAAGGAATTCCCCTTAAATTCACCGCCATTAGATGAGAAGTTGAATTGACTCCCAATGAAGAACATGGACTCCTGGGATGAACAGGCCTTGGTTTCAAATCTTGCCTCTGTCACTGCCTAGCTCTGTGACCTTGAGCAAGTCAATCAAACTCCTTGAGCTTTGCAAGCTCCATCTGTAAAATGGAGTCCTTCATCCTTCATAGAATTGTGTTTGTGAGGAGTGACGTCAGAAACAGGCAAGGAACCAGGTACAGAGTAAGTGCTGAAAAAAAAACATCACCGATTCATGTTATTAGCAATATTTTTCTTACAAGTAGGAAACCATGTGGCTTGTTCAAGTAAGTAGTGGAGGCAAGATGTGAAACAGGTTTGATTCTGGAAGTCACTGACACCCCAGGGCTCTGATGTGTATAGGTCAGTTGTCCCAGACCCCACCCCGTCTACCAGCCCAGCTCACTCTAATCAAGTTAGTTTTGTTCTGGCTTCCTGGTGGGCCTGGTGCCCAGCCTGGGAGTGGCAGAAGGCCAGCCGGGCATGCTCTGCCCAGCACCCACACCTCCCTGCCCTTTCTTCCAGAGAATGGGAACCGCTATGAGGGCTACTGGCAGGGAGGCTTGAAGAACGGGCCTGGGCGTTTCTTCCACCTGGACCACGGTCAGCTATTTGAAGGCTTCTGGGTGGACAACATAGCCAAGTGTGGCACAATGATTGACTTTGGCCGAGATGAGGCTCCTGCGCCTACCCAGTTCCCCATTCCTCAGGTGGGCAGCTCTCACCAGGGCCCTGTGGCCACACCCAGAAAGAGACAGAAAACAGCACCCCCACCCCCCAACCACACCCAACCTGGCCTGATCCAGCCCAATCCAACCAGGGAACAGACAAGGTTTTGTTTTCAGTCTGGGTATCTCCAGGGAGGCAGGTAGCACCTCACAAGGCAGACAGCAGCCCCCAAAGCAGTCAGCACCTCATAAAACTGGCACCCTGGGACTTCCATGCTCCTCAAACCCACCCCTGCTGTTTCCCCCCAGGTCAAAATTGTAGACCCCGATGGTGTGCTAGAGGAAGCCTTGGCCATGTTCAAGAAGAAAGAGGAGCCCAGTGACACAGGAACCAGGAGGTCACGGTTAGATTCCCCAGTCCAAGCACATGCCCGGGTTGCAGGCTCGATCCCCAGTAGGGGGCGTGCAGGAGGCAGCTGACCAATGATTCTCATCATTAAATTAATGTTTCTCTCCCTCTCTCTTCCTCTTTCTGAAATCAATAAAAACATATTATTTAAAAAAGAAGAGGAAAAACAAGGAGACTGATGCCAGGTGAGGGGGTGGGCACACCTGTCACCCTCTATGTGGGTGAGGCAGCTCCCGGAGTCTGCTTTGGGGGAGGGTTTCCTTGTCCTTTCTGGCTCCTCCCCTTCAAAACCCATTTCACTGAAAGACCAGTCCATTCCAGTCCTGCCCAAACCCTCCCATTTGTACCCTGGGCTTACTGGGAGGAATGCTGCTTGGAGGACTTTTTTTGCCCCAGCCCTCCACTTGTCCAGTGGGCTCGTCCAGTCCTCGCTCCTCCTGCTGTGGGTATTAGGTTCGAGGAAGAGGGCACTGGTACAGTGTCTTTGAAAACCAGCTCCCACCACCCCTTCACCCCTGCTGAGACTACCAGAGCTTCAGAGAAGTCAAGTCCGCATCACCCAATTGCTCAACCG